TTCTGTCATTCACATTGTCCAGCTGAGAGATCTGGGCCTTCCCTCCGGAGTCCGGGGGTGCTGGTAGTAGAGTGAAGTGCCCTGATCGGGATCCGGGCTAGAAGCTGGCGCTGCAGAGCTCCCATATGGCTGGAAGATGAGCCTCAGAGAACTGGGACCGTGTCAGCCAGTCACCCAGTGCCAACTAGCGCAGATTTAAAGATTTCTTGATGCTCCTAGACAGCTGAGCCGAGATTTTATCATCGGCAGCAAATGCAGCCAGCCCGTTGTCGCCTTGGCAGCAAATTGGAGCACTGAGTTGACAGGGCACCAGTGTGGGGCTATCTAAGAACCTTCTCTTTGGTGCCTGTGTGGTGTTCTGTGTTAAATTGTGTATCCAGGGTTTCTGGGAGTGAGGAATATTGCCCTCTACTGGGACTCTAACATTTTTAATTCAAGCAGTGTAGCCAGAAATGTTTCTGTTGATGGCATGCTTGGTGGAAACTGAAATATTTGTATTAATGAGGCTGAATATTGAGAGTTATAGAAGGGGTTTCCAGTTCTGATGTACTCTCGCCTCCCGCCTGCGGTAGGAATGTGGGGAGTCAAAAACTTATATTTGTTGTTGGTTTTGAAGTAATTCACCCAGAAATTCTTCTCTGTACTTATTTTCTACCCTGGGTAATTAATTAGGGCAGGTCTCCCTCTAGAACATGTACTCTTGTTGGATGGTATGTGAATGATGATCTTTCTACATGGAATCCTATTTTAAATGTACCAGTTGGACCACTTGTTGTAAAGCAAGGACTCCTTTTCTAAAATCACTCCTAATGTAGTTATGATTTATAATTATTAGCATTACAAACTCAAATTTCTCTATATTAGTAAAACCTTGTAGTAATCTCATGGTCCGTGGGACTTCTAAAATTATTTTGATGTAATAGAATTTAATGGTGAATAAATTGCTAAAAATCTAATTTATATTCTACGGTAATCAGCAAGTAAAGCACTTTGAATTTGATAGGACAGTGCTTTTCAACAGTGACCCACAGTTAGAAATCTACCTTATAGAGCAACAGCTCACATGTATGTATTTGTACATAAATATATAGACATACACATGGAAATGAAACAAAACTTTCCCAAACTTACTTATTTTGTGCGGTGCACTCTGATATTTCCTGTTTTCCTTCCTATCTTTTATTTTATTGTTATATTATTATTATTTTTAGACAGGGTCTCACCTTGTCACTTGGGCTGGAGTGCAGTGGCACAATCATAGCTCACTGCAACCTCAAACTCCTGGGCTCAAGTGATCCTCCCGCCTGGGCCTCCTAAGCTGCTAGGATTACAGGTGTGAGCCACTGCGCCTGGCCTCTTCCTGTCTTTTAAATGTCTTACTTCCTTCTTCCCTCCCTCTTTCTTCATATGCCGGTTGTGACCCACCAAAAAATCAGTCGTCATCTCCTAACCCACCGTTTGAAACACACTGCATTAGGGATAAAGATTTTCAGCTGTCTCCACCCCTTCCTTTCTCTAAGTTTCTGGTGGGTGGGTGATGCGAGTGTGTATGTATGTGTGTGTGTGTGGTTCTTTTCTTTTTAAAAATAATCCTCTGCCTTCTGCCAGATAGCAGAACAAAAGAAATATGAAGAGCTTAAAATCCCCCCTTCACCTTTGGACTCAGGTGCCCTGACTCTCCTGCTCCAAACCCTTAGAGCAAATAGCCCTCTAGGAAGTGCCTTCCTGAGTGACTTGCCCTGAGGTGCTGTGGGAAAGTCCTTCTCTGTTTACTGGGGGAGAGTGACCATTACAACTGCTTTAATAAGACCCACAGAATTACCTCTGCTGTGGCTTGGGAATAGCATTATTTAATAATAATCATATTGTAATAGTAAATATTTATTAAGCACTCAATGTGATTCAGATGTGGGCTCAATGCTTTATGTTATTCACTGAGTGTTATTCATTGAGTCCTCACAACGACCCTGTGAGACAGGTGCCACTGCTTATGCCTGAGTTACACACAGGAAAATGAGGTGTAAAAGGTCACGCAGAGGATGCCTCAGCTGAGCTGAGTTCTTATCCATGCGTCACACCTCTCTGCCAGAGGGCCTAGCAGAACAGCCCATTTTCCACAGGCTGTACTTGAGAGTGGTGGGACACCTTGCTCTGCTTTAACTATGCGTGTGTGTGGCGGCACACAGGCATTCATCGATGTCTTCTGTGCCCCAGGCACTGTGCTAGACGCTTTGGATAGACTCAGGAATGACATGGTCCCATCATGCAGTGTGATGAGGATGGGGACCACTCGGCGAGGAGACCCCAGAGGGAGCAGGGCAGGTGGCAGGCCACCCATGGTGGGCTCCCTCTACCCGAGTATGTCGCTGCTTCTCTGCTCTTGGGGAGTGGTGTGGGGTTGGGAGTGGCGTGTAGGAGGGTCACAAGGGCCAGGTGCCACTGTCCCTTCGTTGGCTTATACACACAAACCCCAAGGAGAGTATTGGCCAGCTCTGTGGGATAACTAAAAAACACTTATAAGAATCCCTTTATCTTCATGCTCCTAAGGGAGTAAAGTAGCTTTTCTTTTGTATGGTTGTCATCAATGGGGATGCAAGAGAAAAATTAACCTTTCTCTAATTGAGTCATATTATTATTATTATTTTAGAGACAGGGTCTTGCTTTGTTGCCCAGGCTGGCATGCAGTGGCGAGATTATAGCTCACTGCAGCCTCGAACTCCTGGGCTCAAGCGGTCCTCCTGCCTCAGCCTCCTGAGTGGCTGGGACTGTAGGCGTGTATCACCACACCCAGCTAATATTTATTGTTTATTTTTGTAGAGATGGGGTCTCACAGAGTTGCGCAAGCTGGTCTCAAACTTCTGGCCTTGAGTGATCCTTTCACCTTAGCCTCCCAAAGTGCTGGGATTATAAGTATAAGCCACCATGCCCAGCTAGATAATTCTGTTATCTAACAGAGAGGGTCTTGGAGGTAATTCATTAATTTAAATAAAAAATAACAGGCTGGGTGCAGTGGCTCATGCCTGTAATCCTACCACTCTGGGAGGCCAAGACGGAGGATCACTTGAGTTCAGGAGTTCGAGACCAGCCTGAGCAAGAGTGAGACCCCATCTCTACTAAAAATAGAAAAATTAGCTGGGCATTGTGGCACACGCCTGTAGTCCCAGCTACTGGGGAGGCTGAGGCAGGAGGATCGCTTGAGCCCAGCAGTTTGAGGTTGTAGTGAGCTACGGTAATGCCACTGTACTCTAGCTGGGGTGACAGAGCAAGCCAAATAAATAAATCAGTAAATAAATAAATAAATAACATGGGAGGTTCAGAAAGATCAAAGTTTCTATGTTTATGTGGCCTCATGATCTCTTTTCACCCTGGACCTACCTCTTCTCAGCGCCATGTTGTAAACCTAGCTTCTTGAGATTGTGTCTCTTCCCCACATCTGTTTAGGCTACAGAGAGAAATACCTCACAAACTGTTTTGTGCTGGCATTAGTTCTCTATCTGAAGACTTGCAAATAACACTGATCTGCCTGGATTAGATGAGCTGAGCAGACATTGTCTTCCAGTCCTGACTGCTCAGAGAGGACAGCAGCAACAGCACCCCGGAGCTCATTATTAGACAGGCAGGCCCAGGGTTCCCGCTGTGCAGTCTAACAAGGCCCAGGTGATGCACATGTACATGAGGGGGGAAGAAGCACTGGCCTAGGCCAGGCCACGCCACCTGTGTTTTTCCCAGGTGTGGAAAGAAGCATCGGAGGACACCCTTTGTTCTTGTCCATTCTCCAGCTGCCTGAGGCGCGTGTGGGGTGGTGGTGGGAGCCAGCACTTTGTGCTTCTACCGTATGTGCTCCCTGACACCCACCAGCGCTCACTGATCAGCTTGTCTGCTTAATTAAACCCTCAAAACTATATTTCATCCTGTGGTGGTCATACACACACACACCACACACACATACATATAATTTCAGTACGTTTCTGGGTCAAATTCAACATTTGTCAAGAACAGGTTTATTAGGTTACAACTGAAATACAGTGAATGGTATATATTTAAAGTATACAATTTGATAAATTTTGACGTATGTGTATACCAGTGAACCCATTGCCACAATCAAGATAATCAACACCCATCCCCCAATAAAGTTCTCTAAGTTCTGTATCCTCCCTGCCATCCCCAGGCAGCTGCTAGTCAGCTTTCTGTCACTAGGGGCAAGTTTGCATTTTGCAGAGCTATATATACATAAATGGAATCAAACAGTATGGCCTTTTTTGTGTGTGTGACAGCTTTGACTTAGTATGCTTATTTGGAGGTTTGTCTTGAGTACCTTGTGTACCATGTGTATCTGTATTTCATTTCTTATTGCTGAGTAATATTCCATTGTATGGACATAACACAGTTTATATACTTGTTGGTTAAAAAAAAAAAAAAGAAAGAAAGAAAAATTAGGGTCTCCATTCTCTCCCAGTTGTCCCGGCTTGGGGATTTTCTCATCTGAGATGAGACATAATTCCAGGCAGTGGTAGAGCAGGCAGCAGACTGCTGCTCTCTGCACTCCCTTTCGCCTATGCTGCTCAGAGGAGCCTTCCCAAGTGCAGAAACCTCGCCCAGGGGCTGCAGGCTGAAAGGACACATTGCTGCCTTCTGGGGCTACCTTGGGCAGGAATCACTGTCCCTGTCTGAGAGCAGACTGAGGCCTCAGTCTATGGCTGGGCAGCCGCGGGAGCTCCTCACCTTCCTCTGCTCTCCCTCTCGTCCCTCGCAGAGTTCTTGCCCGGCCCTGCCAGTGTCTGTGCTGGCCTTCTGATGGGCTCTGTGGGCAGGGAGTCCAGGGCTGGTGTCCTGCATGTCAGTGTTGCATTCCTGGATGGCAGAGTGATTGGGGTGAGGGAAGCAGTTTCTCCCATGCTCCCGAGGTTGACCTCAGCCCCTGTGTGTGACACAAACCTTGGTCTAGTGTAGTAAATCAGAACACCCGCCTAATGCCCTGGGAAATGCTTTTTGTTTTCCAGGCACTGCTAGCGGGCATGCGGAACCGGGAGAACAGCTCGCCCTGCCAGGGCAATGGAGAGCAGGCCGGCAGGGGCAGGAACTCGGGCTCTGTGTGGCTGGGTGAGGACGAGCCCTGCAACGATGTCACTACCCCTTCTTATAAGAAGCCTCTGTATGGCATCTCACACAAGATCATGGAGAAGAAGAATCCTCCCTCGGGGGACCTGCTCAACACTTATGAGCTCTTCGAGAAGGCAAACCCCAGCAACAGCCCCTCGCCACTGCGGCTCCTAAACGAGCCACAGAAGCGGGACTATGGCAGCACCGGGGCGGCCACTGACGGCGACCCCAACATCTACTTCCTGATCCAGAAGATGTTTTACATGCTCAACACCCTCACGTCCAACATGTCCCAGCTGCACAGCAAAGTGGACCTGCTCTCCCTGGAGGTGAGCCGCATCAAGAAGCAGGTGAGCCCCACCGAGATGGTGGCCAAGTTCCAGCCACCCCCTGAGTACCAGCTCACAGCGGCAGAGCTCAAGCAGATCGTGGACCAGAGCCTGTCGGGTGGGGACCTGGCCTGCCGCCTGCTGGTGCAGCTCTTCCCCGAGCTCTTCAGCGACGTGGACTTCTCCCGCGGCTGCAGTGCCTGTGGCTTTGCAGCCAAGCGGAAGCTGGAGTCGCTGCACCTGCAGCTCATCCGAAACTACGTGGAGGTCTACTACCCCTCGGTGAAGGACACGGCTGTGTGGCAGGCTGAGTGCTTGCCCCAGCTGAACGACTTCTTCAGCCGCTTCTGGGCCCAGCGGGAAATGGAGGACAGCCAGCCTGGCGGCCAGGTCACCAGTTTCTTTGAGGCCGAGCAGGTGGACACAGGCCACTTCCTGGACAACAAAGACCAGGAAGAGGCCCTGTCTCTGGACCGGAGCAGCACCATTGCCTCGGACCACGTGGTGGACACGCAGGACCTAACCGAGTTCCTGGACGAAGCCTCTTCCCCAGGCGAGTTCGCAGTCTTCCTCCTGCACCGGCTCTTCCCCGAGCTCTTTGACCACCGGAAGCTGGGCGAGCAGTACAGCTGCTACGGGGATGGCGGCAAGCAGGAGCTGGACCCGCAGAGGCTGCAGATCATCCGCAACTACACGGAGATCTACTTCCCCGACATGCAGGAGGAGGACGCCTGGCTGCAGCAGTGCTCCCAGCGCATCAATGACGAGCTCGAGGGCCTGGGGCTGGACGCGGGCAGCGAGGGCGAGGCCCCGCGCGACGACTGCTATGACTCCTCCAGCCTGCCCGATGACATCTCCGTGGTCAAGGTGGAGGACAGCTTTGAGGGCGAGCGGCCCGGCCGGCGCTCCAAGAAGATCTGGCTGGTGCCCATTGACTTTGACAAGCTGGAGATCCCGCAGCCCGACTTCGAGGTGCCGGGCGCCGACTCTCTGCTCAGCAAGGAGCAGCTGCGCAGCATCTACGAGAGCAGCCTGTCCATCGGCAACTTCGCCTCCCGCCTACTAGTGCACCTCTTCCCCGAGCTCTTCACCCACGAGAACCTGCGCAAGCAGTACAACTGCAGCGGCTCCCTGGGCAAGAAGCAGCTGGACCCGACCCGCATCAAGCTCATCCGCCACTACGTGCAGCTGCTCTACCCCCGGGCCAAAAACGACCGCGTCTGGACTCTGGAGTTCGTGGGCAAGCTGGACGAGCGCTGCCGGCGCCGGGACACGGAGCAGAGGCGCTCCTACCAGCAGCAGCGCAAGGTCCACGTGCCGGGCCCCGAGTGCAGAGACCTGGGGAGCTATGCAGTCAACCCCGAGAGGTTCCGAGAGGAGTTTGAGGGGCCCCCGCTGCCCCCCGAAAGGAGCAGCAAGGACTTCTGCAAGATCCCCTTGGACGAGCTGGTGGTCCCCTCGCCCGACTTCCCGGTGCCTTCCCCCTACCTGCTGTCAGACAAGGAGGTGCGCGAGATCGTGCAGCAGAGCCTCTCCGTGGGCAACTTCGCCGCCCGGCTCCTCGTCCGGCTCTTTCCCGAACTCTTCACCGCCGAGAACCTGCGGCTGCAGTACAACCATTCCGGGGCTTGCAACAAGAAGCAGCTGGACCCCACGCGGCTGCGACTCATCCGTCACTACGTGGAAGCCGTGTACCCCGTGGAGAAGATGGAGGAGGTGTGGCACTATGAATGTATCCCTAGCATCGATGAGCGGTGTCGCCGCCCCAACAGGAAAAAGTGCGACATCCTCAAGAAAGCCAAGAAAGTAGAGAAATGATGGCCTTTGGGCTGCCCAGAGACTCAAAGGCCAGGAAGGCGGAGCAGTGGGCACCCTTGGGACTGAGCGTTATTTTGGAGCACGCGTACGGTATCCACAGACAGGCACCTTATGTCAGTGGGGAGTGGCTTACTACATTTGCACACGTAAACACCACCCAGCCACAGAAAGAAGCCTTGAATTGGTCTCTTGTACTTAGGACTTTTGTCCTGTGTTCCCTGGTGGTGCAGCCCAGGTGTGGGGACAGCCGGCTGTGGGAGCAGGGTCTGGGGTGGGGCCTCACTCCCTGGCGGTGCCCGCTCCAGCCCCTCACAACTTAAAATGCAAACTCAGCAACTCTCTTGTTCCTCTTCCCACATTTCACATCTTCCATTTTGATCCTTTTTTTTTTTTTAATTAAAAAGAAACACTTTTTAAAAAAATCACTGGGCTCTTTGGGAGCCATTTTACTTAGAGAAAAAGTCTTTTTTAAAAGTGCCATGTTCATGCACGATGGCTAATCATAGATCCAAGTGGCATAGAGACTGATTTTACTGACCTTGTCTTTTACATTGGATTTTGGAAGAGTCCAGGTGCCCCTTGGATGGCAGTAGAGGGGCTGGAATGGTGTGAAGTGCTTTGCAGCCATGTCCGAGTTTCCCTCTTTGCTGTGGTGCCCAGGAAGGCTTCGTTGCAGCTTGGCCTGTCTGACGTTGCCGCATCAGTAGAGTGTTGTACGCACTCTCTGTAGACAGAACACTGGATGATATTAATATGAATGTCGATAGACGTGGAAACACGTTCACAATGTCCTCATCTGAGCTGTGTCCTGCCACTGCCCCCATTCCCTCTCCATGTGCGGTTGCTGGTTGGAGGAAGCAGACATGTTTCCTTGGAAAACAATATGGGGGCATTGGCTTCTTGTTTGATTTAAGGCTGGGCCTCTTTGGGCTCACCAATAACTGTTTACTTTCTGAGTGTGTATTTGTACAAGATCCGGGTTCTGGGAGCCGTGTGGTGACTTCCCCAGACCTCAGTGTTAGCTCCTCCAGGCAGCAGCACGTCCTAGTTCCTCAGAGCAGGCATTGGAAGGACACAGGTCATCTCAAATGGGGCTCCCATGTTCTTTCCCAGGGTCCACTCAGAACTTTCCCCCTGAACCCTATAGAAGGTCCTGCTGTCCTACACCTGGCCCATCCCTTGTCTTTGGGGTGCACATCTCTTCTCTCCCCACTGATTGGGAAGGTCAAACTACTCTAGGCCAGCAGCATGCTCTCTAACCCGGATGTTCCCCAACACGTAATTTCCTTAAAAACAATACTTTTACCTATCTAACTTTGGGGGCCAAATGCCTAAGAGGGAAAGGAAACAGTCTAACACAAACTGAATACATCGTACCAGAGACCCTGAAAATTAATTGAATCACACAGGGTAGTCATAAAGCCCTTGTGGGATGTTACAGATTTAAAAACCTAATGGCTTAATATTTTGCTACCTTAAAATGCAGAGATAATAGAAACAATCTGTGAATTTTCTTAGTACAGCTGATAAGGACTTCAGTTCTGGTGGCTGTATGGCATAATTTTGCCTGTACCTAGTGGGCATTTTTTTTTATATGATGTAGGATTTGTGAGCAATGTAAAGTTGCTGATCTGACTTTAGTAAATTTGCTTTTAGGTGTCATTTACAGGTTATTTCTGTTGAAACTGCAAACCGAAATTATTTGAAATTTAGAAATGCACAGGGACTTAATGACCCTTTCTATCACACATGCACACAAACTTCTTACTAAAAAATAAAGTGAGATGAAGGGGACCTACATGAACAGCAAGTTCAACTTCTTTGTGCCTGGAAAGAAGGGACCGGATCAGCCAGGAACTCACTTCCCCCATCACTTGGGCCTTTCTCTACGCCTTAGTCTCTCCAGCACATGCATGCCGCACGCACGCACCCTACCCAAAGATGGCTGGGGCACCCTCCCGCCAGCCTTGCTGGTTGGGAGGGTCCCGTGGAATTTGTTCTGGTCGCCAGGATGTATCCAAGAGGATTCCAAGCCATGTGAAAATTGCCCTGCTTTCTGGAGGGTGGAATGTGACCCTGCAACTTTAGAAGCACAATCATTTAGTAATAATTTTTTTAAAACTTCCATCTACCCACGTTAGAGAAATCATTAAGTTCTAGGAATTACGTCTCTTTGTAACCTAGAACATGCTACGTTTTTGGAAACCATGTTGTGGTGGTTCTCTTAATCCCCTTTGTGTGTAGGGCTTCTTCTCCCCAAATCTTACAGTCCCTTTTTCAGTGAAGAGAGGTGGACACACTCTGGGAGCTGTTTCCTGTCCCTCTGGACCGTCGTCAGGAAACGCTTGCAGGTCCTGTGTTCTGTCTGTATGGGGTCCTCACCTGTTCATCCATACAGGTAACTCCAGTGGGTGTTTTTTTTTCTTTTTACGTGAAGCAATATAAGTACAAAAGACTTATTTTTTCAAAATTTAATATGTTCCGTGAAATCTGTTGGCAACCCTCTTCCTTCCCCCCATCTAAATTCTTCGGTTTTTACTTGTTTTGTGGACCTTTTTTTTTTTTTGGCCCTGTGTTTCAAGGACTAAAAAATTAGCACACATTTTGGTGTTAAGTGAAATAGTAAGTCACAATAGGTGGTAGTCTTCATCATCTTCTCTGTTAGTAAGTTTTTAAAGAATGTATGAAGATAGTCGTGAATGTACTGAGTGTTGGAATCCTGCTTCAGTTCACCTTGGCTGTGTCTACATGACAACAAACCATTTGACAGGGAATAAAGTTGTGTCTAGTGTCATTAGCACTCATGTGCTCCTCCCCCTTTGATGTTGGCCCCAAACCTTCCTTTCCTCTTAAGTTTGGGGGGAGGAGTAGCACATCAGCTGCAATCATCAACCAACCTATGGGATCTACTTAGTGGTGAATGGACGGGCTGTTGGAAAGGTAGGGTGGCTGGCCTGACTACACCACAGCGTGGCCACCTGGTTTCCTCTAGAAATGGCCTCAGTTTCCACCATTTCCCCTGCCCAATGTTTGCTTCTTGCCCAGATGAGAGGGGGTCTCAAGATTCCTGATCGGAGGCCGTTGTGCTCTCACCCTGCCCGGCTGTGTAGATAGACTGTGTAGATACACTGAAGTAGGGGTGGGGGCCGGGGGCTGTTACTGCTATTCGGAAACACTTGCCTCTCGTAGATCCAGCCTTAATGTTTTTCTGACATCCTAGTAATAGCAGACCCTGCACAAAGTGGATATCAGAGTTAATACTGTGAGGAGACAAAATAATGAGAATAGTTTTACCAAAGATAATGAAGTATCACATGTCTGCATTTTACCATTGATTTGAGTGCATCCTTAGAAAACTGAATGTAACAAAAACCCAGGACATTTTTGGAAATTGTATGCTCTCTAGCAACTTTGTGTGAATTTTTATACAAGCACTGTTTTATGAGTTATATAAAATGTTATAAAAATAGAAAAAATGTGGTCTCGTAACATCTTATTTTCTTAGGGCATTGATCTCTCAGAAAAGAATGTGTCTTGGTCTATTTGTCTCTCTGTGCAGCCTCCTCATCCTGCTCCCAGGGGAGAGCATGATTGGTTTGAGGGGTTTCAGTCTCTCGGGCTTCCACGCTCCGAGTGTCAGGGGTACAGCTCACACACAGGCTTTCAGTTTGGCCACAGCTAAATGATGAGAAGTCACCAGATAAATAGTCTGCTTCTCCACAAACCACTTCCTGGCCATGCAGTGGGAGGCTCGTTTAACCTTTTTTTACCTTTCCTGGTCAGGTGCCAGGCCAGCCCTGCCCTGCAAAGCTAGCAGACCTTCATTTCACTCTAACTCCCCTCTCCTCCGCCCCCACTTTGGATCAAATGGGATTTAGTTCCTCAAAACTAATGTAGCATTAGCTGGTAATGAAAGGATGTGTGTTTTCCCTCACTTTCTCTTCTATCTAACTATAAATAAATAATATTTCATAGTAAAAATAATGTCTCAAACTGCCAGAGAAACTTTTTTTTTGGCCCAGGCAGCCACAAGATACAAAGTAAATTGTGGCTCATGACTGGAACACTTTACCTGGGGTAAGTGTTTGCATATTCCTGATTTGATAGCCCTGAAATCTGTGCGACTGACGTGTCTGTGCTATGAGCCTCATTGGCAAGTCAGCCCTGGTTAGGGGCTGGAGCCCCAAATACTAAATCCAGTTTCAGCAATAATTGAAGAAAGGCTAGATTCTTTAAGCCCCTTCTGACTGTAGGTATCTTTGTTTTCTACCAAAAAGAAAATTCACAGAGTATTTTGATACAAGGGAATGTACTTGCAGTATCTAGTTCTCAGACATAAGAACTGTATGCCAAATTAATCATGATCATTGGAATGGTGAGAGGCAATGGCTCTTTAAGGGAGCTTCCAGATAAATCCAAAATCCCTGACCAGTAGTAGGGAAAGGAAGGAATGTTCATTGGCTGAAATGGCACCTAACATTCATTAAGTGTAGACCATGTGCCAAGCGCTCTGCCAGAAACTGCTTCCAAGATGTCTTGTAATCCTTTCAAAGTCCTGCAATTTCCATAGTTATACCTTGTTAGCAGGCAAGAAAGCTAAAGCTTTGGATGGTATATATACTATCTCATTTTTTTTCTTTCTTTATTTTTTTCACCCCACCCCCTTATCCCATTTAATTCTCATAAAAACTCAGTGTCGTGATCATTGTTATCATCTCTGTTTTGTGGTAAGGATGCAGAGAGAAGTAGATTTCTTGTCCAGGTTCACACAACTGCAAAATGGCGGTGCCAGGGTGTGAACCCAGATGGTCTCTTTCCATCATTCTATACCGTATCAGGAGCTAAACACCCCCTGAAATTCAGATCCCAAAACAATTGCAAGTCAGTGGTGGCCTCTATCACTCACATCCTCTAATCCCCAGTTTGTATGAACTTAGATACAGGTGTGCTGGTTTTAGAATTAAACTAATTCTAAATAACCGTAGCAATAGTGGACAGACATGTTCTGGTGATTGTGAGTAAATTTAAAATTGTGATAGTAACTGCTGTAGATCGGGTTCCCTAGAAGCACAGTCTGAGACTGGGAGTCTTAGGCAGGCAATT